GGGGGGGCCGCCTGTGCCTGCTCCGTGGGGATCGTGCCCACTCCTGAGGGATTGCTGCCTGCCCAGCCTGAACCAAGTTGGACCGGAATAGGAGCTTGCCCAGCCTGTGCAAGTCACCTGCCTCAGGATTAGAGCTGTGTTTGTCTCATCTGCTGCTGCTGGGAGTGGTCACCCCAGTTACCAGGAAGCCGGCCTCTCCACGGATCTCCTGCCGAGTCTGCCAGCGCATCCCGGGAACCGCGTGCTACGGAAGCAGGGTAAACGCACACGCACGCACGCACACACACACACACTCTAATTTTCCTGCCGGGCTCAACTCCGATGCTTTCACTCCATTGATTCTACACCTCTCCCTTGGAGTGTGCATTTAATAAAACCATAGCACCTTTGAATCCCTTCTCCGATATACACCTAGACAAACTCTCCTGAACCTTGATCCCTCAGTTTGTGTTGACCCTTAATAAACCGATTAATTCGTAAACTAAACATTGGTCTCAGTAACAACTTGTGAGCATGGGGAGGGGGGTCTCTCATCTCTAAGATACATCTCATCTCTCTAAGATACAGCCCCACAGTGGCTGTTCCTCTGTGAGAGGCAGCGCCACGTGTGACCCTCGGGCTCAGTCACAAACCTCTCCACACTGGGGGGAAGAACCTGACAGCTGGTACCCCCTGATACCGGCCCGTGACATTTGGTGTCAGGAGTGGGATTTGAACCCACACCTCCATTTGGAGACCAGAAGTATTTCACATAATATAAACCATTCTGTGGCTTTCTGTCAGTGTTCAGCCATATGGATATTGCTGGGTCTGGAGACTCATGAAGGAAGGGGGGGCACACCTACAGTAATTTTACAGATACTCACACTGCTTCATTATGGCTGGAGATATAGAGAGGAATATAGGCAGTAAAATGGGACAGTCGAGAAGCACAGAGTGAAGACACAGCACAAAGAGAGAACTGAAATGTAAAAAATACATGTAGTACTTACTAATACTTCTAAAGCTGGGCCAGTGAAGAGAACTGCAGCCTCGGAGATTCAAGTGTAATACATATGGACGCCACTTCTGCAAAATATCGACTACTATCTGGTCCTGAATTTTATGCTTCACTGCTGAAAAATTGATCTAAAAATTTAAACAATACATAATTCAGTACTAAAAATAGGTAGTACATAAAAAATACAGATAATTATGGAAATTACTAGTAAATAGATTAAGTTCTGTGTAAACACTGAATCACTCGTCTGAAACAAATAGAAATGTCTGTGTATTGCATTTATATAAAAGTTCTAGACTGCTGACTAAAAAATACGTAAGTGTAGAAGAAAGCACATCCGCAGTATTTATAAAGCTAAGTCTTGAACTGCCAAAACATGACATGTCAAAATATTATACGTAAAGAAAATTGTCAGACTTGAATATTTACTTCATTTTTTCCCCTTTAAATGTAAAAAATCCTAAAGTTGCTAAAGATATTATTTTTCTAACTAATGGTTTATTGATACCTCAAGACATAAGAATATGTAACGTACCATCCTAATTTTAGTAGAAGGATACATAAGTAATTTAAGCAGCAAACTGGGGATATCTAGATCTTTGACTAAAAATGTTATTTTTCTTACTGTCAGAAGTTTAAGAAGTTTTAATAAAAATTACTAGAAAGTAGTTTTAACTACTGTCAGTCTACCAAGTGTTTTTAAAAAAAGCAGGAAAGCCAACATATAAGCATTTAATAAGAAATATAACCTCTTCTAAGAAGACTCTTTCATGCCCTCTTTAAATGTGTTCATTAAAAAGTCAGGGAAAGCTTTTTCTTTTCCCTTTTGTATAATTGGCTACAGCTACACCACATCTGTTTGTTGTACATAACATAACACATGTTTATTACCCAAATACTTTGAAAAATCAATCATCATTATTTCTATGCAGAATGCTTGGAAGTCGTTAACCTTACCAGGAAGTCAGGAGTTCTGAACTTTTTCACTTTCTTACCAGGATTTTGTTCTTTTATTAAAATTATCAGAAGTTTTAATATTAACTTCATTAAGATCACTAATTTATCACAGTAACTTAAGACTAGACCTAATAAAGGTGTCAGGCACCTACAAGCTGGGCACTTCAGTGCCTTTTAGGTGCTGGTGTCCAGGGGAGACTTAACAACCCGAATCTGAGCAGAGACTCTACAGTATACACACTGGAAGGTCAGTTTAAAGAAACTCCCACAGAGAACAGGCAGCTGCCTAGAAGCAGACAGCCCCATCCCTGAAGTGTTCAAGGGCAGCCTGGATTGTGTTCTGAGCAACCTGGTCTAGTGGGAGGTGTCTCTGCCTGTGCAGGGGGGTTGGATCTAGATTATCTTTAAAGTTCTTTCCAAACCATACCATGATTCTATGTAAGGAGCATTGTTGAGCCCTCCAGATCTACTTTACCTCTGTGAGGAAGGCAGATACAGGCCTACATATGTGCATGCTGGGGAACTGAACTCCTAAGGCTGAAGAAACAACAGTATCCTGGACACTGATGTGGGATCTGGAGACACAGGAATCACCTTAATAACTGTGAGAGTTCATTAATATAGAAGTGACCTGGTCTGCGCCACTTGTTCCAGGGATGACAAGAATATTTTTAGAGCAATCACAAGTAGTCTCAGAGTGCCTGTAACTAAGTTTACATTCTCCTTCCACAGTAGCCATATAGTGCTTGCTTAGGTTACCTTGGGAGCCTAAGACACCTTACTTACTGTATAAACTTAGTGGTCTATAGCCAAGGCTTAGTGGCCAATTCTCTTTCATATCCACTGATTTTATGATATACCATAGAAAACTTCAGTTGAGATGTCCTTATTTTTTTTGTTCATTTAGTTGAGTAGAACAAGCCATATTCTGGGATGAAACTTTTCTCTAAGATATTTCAGCATTCTTAAAGTAAACTACCTCTTTGCCTCACACTTTTAAAAAGTAAATAAAATTGAAATTAAATATTGAAAGTGGTTATCTCACTTACGTCACTCCATAATGAACTGTTCTGAGTTAATAACATCCACATTTGGCTAACTTGAGCACATCTTGCCAGATCAACTAAATTTACATAACGGAAAATCTAGGTCAGAAAAACAGACATACATGATATTACAAACTATTCAATGAGAACTATCCAAAGACTGTAATTTCTGTAGGTAGAAAAGGACAAATCAGGTAGGAAAATCACTGATAATGTGTTTTTACTACTAGCATTTAATCACATAGGTTCTCCACAACACATTACAGCAATTTGCCTGCTCCTCAAAATATGCTGCTGTCCCACAAGCTGTCTGCATTATCTTCAAATAAACTACTTAAAACAATTTTAAAACCAAGTTTTCTGGTGTTATGTTTTTATTCTGGAATCTTGGGAGATTCCTGTAGCCATTTGCAATTTAAAGATATTTAGGTGGTTTAGGATACAGTTTGGGATCTACAAATATTTTTGTAGGCCCTTTTCAAAAGCAAATTCCTTTTTTACAGCCTGTCACCTCAAAGACTTGCATCCCATGATAATTATAGTTGGATCCATCAGAGACTCCTCTGTCAGTCTCAAGTCTGTTTAACTTGGATAAGTATGTTATTTCCTTAACATCAACATTCAATCTAATTGAAAACTCCAAGGAATTTGGACACAGCTCACAAAAAATACTCTAATAAATTGAACTATATGACTTGCTAGAATGAGAAAAAAAAAATACTGACTGTATTATTATTCATTAAAAGGGTTTAGTTTCATATTAGAAGAACAAAATTAAAGCTTTTAGTTTGACATTCTCTTGCTAGTAACCTTTTGCATTTTCAGTTCTGAAAAGGTCTGTTGAAACATTTATTTCATGTTAGGTCAAGACCATGGTAGCCAGCTTTAAAGCCCAGGAAACATTTACTGTCAATAACTCAATATCAGGGTACTGTGGTACCAGTGACTTTTTTTACGAAACTATAATTTACAAAGCAAATGGCTTACAGCTGGCCCTGAGGACACATCTTGTCCCAGAAGTAAATACAAATTGACTGATATTTTTTGTAGGGGAGCAGAACAGAAAGCTTCAATAAATGACAGGATACTAGTAATTACATTTATGAAAAAACTCTGTGATTTTTAAATGATCCACTTCGAAATATCATCTACAGTGCCAGAGGCAATAAAGTTTCCTTATCATAAGTTCCAAGGCACACTTTATATTCCACACTCTGTGAATGGTCAGAGCAAACAGAGATTTGGTGTGGAGGAGACAGCACCCAGTAACAATTTCCCCTTGAAGAATATTGTATCTACATTCTGGATCCACCATAGAGAGAGGGGAGGGAGGAAACATTTGGGTTTTAGATTTTGTTGGATCAAAACTGAATTCTGAGTTCACTTTAGTTCACTGTTTAAAAGAAAACATATAATGTTTTTCTGAAATACCACTGTAATGTTTTTGCAATGCTAAATAATGGGAAAACATGACAGGACAAATGAAAGCTTATTTATAAGAACATAAAATTAAAACATTTTAGCAGTAGTTCCAGTTTATCTCTCAATGGCAACTATTTTCAGTAACCAATCTATACTTCAGTTAAACTGGCCTCCACAACTGAAGGTCTCACAACCAGTAGCTAATAATTTTGTTCCTTTTTTAAAATACTGCCTTATATCAATCTTTCTGCTACTGATTAGAACTACCTTCTCTTCTAGAAGTTAGCATATTAACAAGCTTTCAATCTCTGAAGTAAAATTTTATAAGGATATGAAAATGCTTTTTGTACAAAGCAACCTTTTGAAAAATAAATTTAAAAAATTGAATAAAAATGTTGGAAAATAAATCTCTCCCTTCCTGTGCCCTTGCAGTAGATTCCTCTCCTCTCCTCTTGATTTCTGGCCTAGCAATTTTTTCTGGCTTAAGGAGCTGCATAACGTCCATACAGCCTTCTCCATATTTTTAAGAAAATTAGACTGCTTTCTCTCATATTTGGGGCTTGGCTTATGAGCATCTCTTCACTGCAAACAAACCCCTTTACTTCTTCTCAGGAGTTCCACTCCCTACCTATACTCCAGCTTTCCTGATTTCTCCCTCTTTTCTCTTTCAGTCTCAGCTCAGAGAAGATCCTGGATGTCAGGTTAGGGCATGCAGAACATGATCAGGAGACACTAAGGTGGAAGAATAGCATTACCCTCCTCCAAAGGATTTCACCTGACTCAAAATGAACAATGTCAACAGGAACCTTCCTTTTCATTGCATGAACACATCCTTCTCAAAAAAACATTATACATACCATTTATGAAAAATACATTTTAAAAATTAAAAAGAGCACTGTCTGTCACAAACCTGTAATAAGGCTTCCTCTGGTAACTGGGATGTTTTCACCCCAGACATGGCACGTCGGACAGTAGGATCAGTAACATCATTAAGATCATTTGATTCAAAAGATTCTTCTTGACTTGCCTTTGCCAAACTCTGAAAAAAGATGGCACAAGAGAGGCGCTGTTTTGTCTTCACTGCAGGCTCAAAGTTTAAAATACATTTAGATATTTGAAAAAATAAATTAAATTTGCGAAACTGCACTAGGTATTTTCAAATTCCCATATAGTTACACTTCTTTGAATGTCTGTAACCACTATTGCTGAGAATAATCATAGTTTTTGGGTCCATGTCATAATTTTTCCTCATAGTAATGCAATGCAGAAACATATTAGCACATGAGTGTTGATCTGCATGAGGCTAGGGAGGCTTTACAGAGAGACAGATAGATTGGATCATTGGGCTAATGTTAATGGTCTGGGCTTCAACAAGGCCAAGTGCCAGGTCCTGCACTTGGGCCACAACAACCCCAGGCAACACTACAGGCCTGGGGAAGTGTGGCTGGAAAGTGTCTGGCAGAAAAGGACCTGGGGGTTCTAATTGACAAGCAGCTGAATATGAGTCAGCAGTGTGCCCAGGTGGCCAAGAAGGCCAATGGCATCCTGGCTTGTATTAGAAATAGTGTGACCAGCAGAAGTAGGGAGGAGATTGTCCCCCTGTACTCCGCACTGGTGAGGCCACACCTGGAATACTGTGTCCAGTTTTGGGAACCTCAATTCAAGAGAGACACTAAAATGCCTCATTTAATATTGATAGAGCCGGTTTTCCAGAACAGTGAGAATTAATTGATTTAATCATGGAGCTTACTATATTTGAACTATTATACTGCATACCTCAAAATATGTTTTCATTTTCCTAGAACTGTGGGCCTCTTCATGCCAAGCTTTAACGACAGCCTTTAAATATATTTTGTTAAAGATCTGATGCAGTCTCATTTCTGCCACTGAAAATACACATAAGTAGAACCAATTTGAGGACCACAAGTAAGAACAAGTATGTAAGTTAAATACTTTAGATTAATGACTATCAAATTATGTATCTATTCAATTTGGCTTCTCTAAGGAAATAAATAACTTTTTACAATAGATATAACTAAGACCATTGCATATGATTTCGAGTTAGCAGGCAAGGTATAAACATGACATATTTCCAGTTTATCAGAGTTGTGTATAAGACTTTACTGATCTACAGCTTCATCTACCAAAGTATCCAATAATTTCACAGAGCTTGAAGCTGCAAGATACATACAGACCTCAGTGAAACAGAATACAATAACAAAATATCAATGTTTCAGATGGCATAGAAGTCAAATGGCATAAGAATAAATTCAGAAAAGTCAAGTGTTAAGTGTCACACCAATGTTAAATTTACAACAAACACTAAAGCAGTTTATGAAAGATCATGTGTTTATTATGAATTAATGTCAACGTTTTTTAAAAAATTAATAAAATTTTAATGAATCTCATTTTCTTTAGTCCAGCATAAAAAAGCACAGCAAATACTGTAACTGCCCTCTATATGTTAAAGGTGTTACAAATGTAATCAAAATAAAATTCTTCACAGCCACTGAAATAAAAGCAAGAGGAAATAATTGCAGTTTTCTGCAAAAACTGAAGTAACCACTCAATATTGGTTTTGGTCAGTTAACTTTGTAAATAAACAGCAATAACCTATGAAGTGAGCTGAGAGATCTTCTTACTTGAGACTTTCAAGAACATCCAGCTGCTTATGTAGCTTAGCCCTATATAATCCTATCTCATGGACAAGAACTAAGCTCGATTAGTGTGACATGCAGTCTTTGCTATCAAAAGAAGAATTAAAATGTCAATTTTCATATATTAAATACATACTTTAGACTCACCTATTATTTTTGTAACCAAAAAGTGTCTTGAAATTGCACTGAAATAAATTATTATAAAGGTACACTTAAGATCCATTCTTGTTTGTAAAAAAAATAGTGTGTCTCAAATCTTGTAAGAGATACAGTGTTGACCATATAGACCTAGGTTACCTGAGTCATGCTCAAACACTATGTGTCCCAGGGAAAATATTGTATGATATTAGTTATATACTTTGACAAGTGTATACTTCACACTTTTGTTACAAACCTTTTAGGCTATAAAACCAGGAAGGTACTGAAATTGGAAATATTTGTAAAGCAAATGCATAATGTCCACACAGCCACAGTACAGTAGAGATCTAGAATAAACAGATCCTCAACATGATCACATTCTATTAAAGAAAGATGACCCACCTTTTTTTTTTAAATTAAAAAAAACAACAACACAATTATCTGTCATTCCAACAACTTTGTTTACACTGCAATCCCACAAACAGTTATGCTGATACTAGTGAAGAATCAACGAACAGAGTCACACAGCCAAGAAGGACTGAGTGGCATTTCTCTGTACATCAGCTTTGCCATGGAAGGAAATAAATTGTGTAACTATGCCCTCTAGATGTCTCCTCCTGTGCTTCTGTTAATTTAAGATTAATAAAAGTTGCCTTGGCTGAAAGTAATATTTAGAAGAGCATATAAAAGGAAAGTCTGTCCTAGCAAAAAGTACAGGGGAAAAAAACACAGATAACCACTTTTCATGGCATTCATGGCATAAAATTGCCACAGGTCAACCAATGAACTGCATCCTGCAAAAAAACAGCTAGATAAATTGTTGGACCAAGCAAATTTCATTTATACAGCATAATTTTCATTTATATAAAACATGTATTTTTTGTCTTATACAAAGCAGCTATATAGACTTACATGCAATTTTTTCCTTCTGAATCTGCTTCCACATGACCCATTTATGCAGACTTACTCTTAATTTTTTGACCTTGTAATGGGCTACTGCTACAGCCATCATCTGCTTTATCTTTATCCTTTCATTCTTTTTCTGCAGAATATATTTTATCCATCTTCTGAATTTTAAAACAGAACGAGCAATTTAATACATCTCTGGACCTGAATGAAGTAAAAACTATACAATTCTGCAACTTGCTATAAAATACAAAGCAGTCAAGCTTAACCATATAAACATCTGAATATAACTGAAGTTTGATATATAAAATTTAAATAAAATATGCATTGATCATATTTTTCAGAGTAATTAATTTACTCATCTTAATAAAATGTATACTTGTTCTTATTATCCCACAGTATCAAGCAATAGAAACTTGCTTGCTTCCACCA